TTGTTTGTAGTAAGAGCATTAGAAGATGAGATTTTAATCGGGTTTGAAAGAAAAACTTATTCTTGAACTGTTCCTGTTTGCATGAAATTAAAATTTGGTGCTTGTTGTTTGTAGTAAGAGCATTAGAAGATAGATTTTAATAGGGTTTGAAAGAAAAAGTTATTCTTGAACTGTTCCTCTTTGCATGAAATTAAAATTCGGTGCTGCTTTTTGACGTAAATAACACACTAAAATAGATTAGTGGCATAATTAGTTATAGGTCAGTCACATGATAGTGATTTAATATGGTAACTTCAGAATTTTGTGCCTCCAAAGCAGACTTCTTTAAAAAAAAAAAAAAAAAAAAAAAAAAAAAGAAGATAAGATTCTAATGACATTTTATAGAAACTGAATATAGAGTATTGAGGAGTTTGAATGCATCTGAAATGCAATGAAGAAGTTGTTGGAGTACTGCACAAGGCTAGGTGAATTCAGCCTACAGTGAACAGGTAGCTCTCTGGATACTATAGTGGAGTTTTAATTTTTCTCAACTGTTTTCTTTTTTTAGTTCTTAATCAGCATGTTCTTAAGCGTGTGTTTTTGTTTAATCCCTTCTGGTGTTCTTTTCCAGGTAATTTTCTATGACAGTGATTGGAACCCAACAGTAGACCAGCAAGCCATGGACCGGGCCCACAGGCTGGGTCAAACAAAACAGGTCACTGTTTATCGCTTGATATGTAAAGGCACCATTGAGGAGCGCATCTTACAAAGGGCCAAGGAAAAGAGTGAGGTAGGAACAAAGAAATCATCTGGTAGCAGGAAACATGTATCGAAATGAATGAAGAAACAGAAAAAATGGTGCCAGGAGCTTGAAGGGAAGCCAGATGTTACTATATTTGCTAAGTAAAAATAAGAACAACAACAATATCTGTTGCAGCACAGCAGCACTACGGCTGTATTATATGAAGTAGGAAGAAGCTAACTATTAACACCATGCCTTCATGAAAACTTTCTTATGACACACTAAAAGTACGCAGACCTCTACAAAGCTAGAGCCTTTACCCGTAACAAGACTCAGATGTTGTGTGTGTTCAGGGATTTCTTTTAGCTTTCTTCATACTTAGGCAGTGGTTAGCTTTTCTTTACTTAGCATCTAGTTTGCATTTTAGCAATTGAAGCATCTCCAGTTGAATGTGTTCACAATTTCCCTGCTGAATTTCATCTATTTTGCTCTGGGATACTACAATAGGGTCACCTGCCATTAACCTGAAAACTGCAGAGTATAATCTTTCTGCTGCTAATACAAATAATTTAAACTCATACCAAAGCTTCTGGTCTTGAATTGTATAATCTCTTTTCATACTTTGCGTTCTCTTTATTTTTGTTTGTTGTTGTTGTTAAAGCTATAGAAATTGAGAAAGTTGCTTACTTAGGGGATTTAGATTAAATATGGAGGTTTTCAGACAAAGAGACTGAAAATTTTGTGCCTTTTACATGAACCCCTTGCAAATTATTTATAAAATAGGATTGGTAATATTTACCCTTCAGAAAGTACTGCTTTATCTTTACTTAATGTTCAACAGTATCTTAATACTGTTGTTTTTATTTTATTACACGTTGCTTTAGAAGCATGCGGCATTGCACAAGGAATGGCAATTTTCTGTTTTCTAGCTCATTTGCTGTCTGTTTTAATAGTTATACTGTCAATAAAATCTCCTTAAGTTTTGCTAAGAACTTTAGTATGATCGAGACGTTGAGACTGCTCCAACTTTCACATGCTTGCACTTACACTTTTTTCTGATTTGCTTTTCTTCTAGATCCAGCGAATGGTGATTTCAGGTGGCAATTTCAAACCTGATACCTTGAAACCAAAAGAGGTGGTTAGCCTTCTACTGGATGATGAGGAACTAGAAAAGAAATGTATGTGAAATTCATCTTGCAGCATTCAAACCATCTTCTAGTTCATTAGCTCACTTTTTTTTTTTTTTTTTTAAATCCCTACAAACACATGTATTGCTGATAACCACTTCTGTTTCCTGGCTCATTTTTGCACTGCCAGCTCTTGTTAGTACAAGCTGGTTTCATATCACTACAGAGCTGAGAGGATAAGTTGTGTTTAAGAGACATAATGATATGATAAAGTTTTTATTGGCACTTGTTCAGGATCATTACATTGTTCCTGAATGGCAAAGTTGTGAAAAGAATTATGTAGGTCGTAACAAACAAGTATTAATAAAGAACACTGTTTTTCATTATACTTTTGAAGTTAGGCGTAGACTTCTGTCTTCAAAGAAGATTTCTCAGGAAGACTTTCTAGTAATTTGGATACAAAAAAATATATGTATATTATTTCTCCTTTGAGCCCTTCAGTGAGTTTTAGTAATATGACTGGCTTTTCTTCGCAGCCCTGTTCAAACTAAGGTTCCTCATAGTATTCACAAAGGGCTATAAAACAACATTCCAGTGATGGCAGTTTTGTGCTTTTGTTCTGACAGTGCGTCAGCGTCAAGAAGAGAAGCGACAACAGGAAGAGACAAATCGTGTGAAGGAGCGTAAACGTAAAAGGGAAAAATATGCTGAGAAGGTATTTTGATACAAAGAGGGTGCCTATTTCAGAGATGGAGACTGAAAATCTTCAGGCATATTATTACATGCTGTGGAAACATCTTGTGCAAAAGCAATCTGTTGAATAAGTCCTGCTTCCCTTCACCATTGAGCATCAATTGATGGCAGGGATATTACAAAATATGTATCGCGTTTTTATTTGTCTTTGTAGATTCATCAGTAGTCTACAGACAACAGTTGGGGATTTATGCTTGAAAAACATAATGATCAGATGGTCATTTTGTGGCATATGAAATGGATACCCAGTTACGATTTTTGGGACTGTCAACAAGGGAATGTAAATGTGGTTATTTGGGTTTTATCTGCGTTTTGTGTTTCGTGGCTCGTGTGGAATGAGGGAAGTTTAGTTTGTTTTAAAAAAGGTCATTAAAACTAGTTCAGGAAAATGAGGGGTTTTTTTTAGGAATAGGGAGTTTTATATTAATTAATTGCAATTCAGTATAATGGTCAAGAATTTCAAGTTCACTTAAAACGGTAATGGAAATGAAAGTAATCCTATAAGAGTCATTCTACAGCGTTTCTGCCGCTCTTTTTTGGGCGGAGGACTTTGATCTAAAGAAGCAGCCGCTGAGATCTGTACTCTGTCCTTCAGAAGCTGTTTTGGTTAATTCTGGACAGGGTGATCCTGAAGTTGTATTGCATTGGTTGTTGGGATTTCAGTTAGCTTGTTCCCTTTCTTCCTGTTTTATTGTATTTTTCATTCCCTGTATTGTTTTATTTATTTCTTTCAGAAGAAAAAGGAAGATGAATTGGATGGGAAGAGAAAGAAAGAGGGCATGAACCTGGTGATCCCATTTGTTCCCTCAGCTGATAACTCCAACCTGTCTGCTGATGGTGACGACTCCTTCATTAGTGTGGACTCTGCTATGCCCAGCCCTTTCAGTGAGGTAAGACTTGCTGCTGCTTTGAGCTACGCCCCATTTCAATGGTGGACTTATACCCTGTAGGATTCTTCCTTTCTGTGTTTGTTTTTGTTTGTTTGTTTTAAAGCTAATATGTAATTTAAAGTGAATAGAGGTTTCTCTTCTCTCTTGACCCCATTAATCTCCAGCTTCTTAACATATCTTTTGATCGGTTGAAATGAAGAGTACCTGGAGGTCTTTATTGCAGCTCAACCTGTGGACAGGTGTGATGTGATTAGGCAGGATATGAAACTGGGCAGTGTGATGCATAAAAAAAGACAGAACAACTACCAGTTAACTACATCTGAGTGCGTGTTCTTTGAAGGTCCCGTTATGTTTGTACCCTTCATTCCCCTTTCCTAATGTGAGAAGCTAGCAGCTTTGTTCTCTATCTTGTTTAGATATCCATCAGCAGTGAATTACACATGGGCTCTATCCCTCCTGATGAGAGCAGCAGTGATATGCTCGTAATTGTGGATGATCCAGCTTCCTCAGCACCTCAGTCAAGGGCAACAAACTCTCCTGCTTCCATTACTGGTTCAGTTTCCGATACCATCAATGGTCAGTGCTGTTGCTTTGACTTACTGCTAACATATTGTTAAACCTTAATTTTTGTATGCCTAGATGATGCACTTCCTGCGTTTTAATCACAGTATTATAGGTGACTGGCAAGATTTGGGAAGAGGTGAAAAAATTAGAAAAGTGTAACTTTCCACTGTAATTTTACTTCAGATTTGATAGCAAAATTCCTGTTTGTGGTCTGTTGTCAATCACACTTACGTTTCTTGCGTTAGTTAGAGTTTTGTTATTTGCTCCTGTGTTATAGAAAGCTCTTCATATTACTTGCATTTTGCCAAATTATAGGCATCCACAGAAATATTCATCTCCGAGCATTTCCTTGAATTTACCATAGGACTGGTAGTAAACTCTCTTTTTCTACTGGATGATTGAAGCAGCTGTAATTTTACATAATGGGAAATGTTTTTAACTGCCATAGTTTTAGATACTGAAATAAATAGACCCATAATTTTGATAAATTCATTTACAGATAGCAAATGAAAAGAAAAAGTAGTAGTATCTTCAAGTATGAAAGTACTTCATCCTGAGCTAATTAAAACCCAGAATCCTTCACCTATCTGTGGAGGGGATTGATAATAATAACCATTAGTTATAGCTAATGAGATGTAGCTAGTGAAGGGAGAAGGGTGTTGTGAGCAGTGTATATATTTTGTATGTCTGAACCAGGGAATCAGCGCTTGTTAGCAGCTTAGTGTAAGTGGCAGGCGGTTATGACACTGTGTTCAGCCGTGAGGCATCGTATGTGCTACTTACAAGTAACTGTTTTGATGTCCTCCTCTTGCGAAGGTGTTTCAGCGCAAGACACACCTCTCTCTGGGAGAGGCCAGTCAAATAGAAACCGGGGTCGTCCCAAAGCTCCAAACAGTGGATCCAAAAGCGCTGGGAAAAGCAGAAGCCGGAAGTCGACAGCAGGAAGCGCAGCTGCGATGGCAGGTGCCAAGGCAGGAGCAGCAGCAGCCTCTGCAGCGGCGTACGCAGCCTACGGGTACAACGTCTCCAAAGGTACGTGGGGAAGGGGAGGCAGCAGCCTATGGAGAGCAGAGCCGACCACGTGAATCCGACCGAATTGTTTGTTCACAGCCTGTTAAAAAGTAGATTGAAGTGTTGCATTGCTGGTAGTTTGTGTTGGGTCTCTTCTGAGGTCCAAACAATTGACGGTGTGGCATGGTAACTGTGTGATAGGTTAGCCAGTTTCACAGGCAGAGGAAGTCTCATCTGCCCTGTGAATTATCTCCTACGTTTTTTCTTCTGGTGTCCAGGCAAATGTAGTGATATTTGTCTCAGGAGTATAGCTGTGTTCTTTCTGTATTGCTGTCATGTTGATGATACAACACCAGGTTCCCAAATGTTCTAAGCTGTCAGTGACGGAGTTTCAGCTTTATGCCAGCTGAAGGCTGCACATAGTATAAACCCAAGATGAATTGTACATCCCTCTTTGTTAAACTGTCCAAATTTATGAACTGAGAGAATTCATGGTCGTATTAGAAGTAATTGTTAGTATGTGGACACCATTAAAGCTGTTTTTATTTGCTGGTAAAGAGGAACAAGTGGAATAACATGTTCACGTGGTATTTGATTCTCTTTTCCATTGCTAGGCATGTCTGCAAGTAGCCCTCTACAAACAGCAATTATTCGGCCTTCTGGACTTGCTGATTTTGGACCTTCAAGCGCCTCTTCTCCCCTGAGCTCCCCTTTGAGCAAAGGAAACAGTGTTTGTGGGACCCCCAAAAGCTTAAACCTGACCAGCAGCCTCATACCAGAAACTCCGATTCGGAAGCAAAGCAAAGGTGCCCACACCTCAGGCGGTCGGTAGTAATTTTGAACCCCCAAAGCTTGTCTGAACTGTGTTGGCTTTCAGAGTAGACCACCCTGCCAGCTGAAGGCATGAGATGAATGCCTTGTTGCTGCCCAGCGTGTGTGAAAAGAAAATCAAAGCACAATGGGAATGGGTGGCCTATGTGAGCACTTTGATTATGTGTATCCCAAAAATTTGTCTTTGCAGACACTGCAAGAAGGAGGGGTGGTCCGGGGTGGCTGAGAGTGTGTCAGATCCCCTTTTTTGTGTTTGTTTAATTCAATGTCTGACAAAGATTACTGAGAAAGCATCCAGCTACTCTATGCCGTGTGTGCTTGAGGTCACCCCAGTATACTTTCTCTCCTGTAGCCTGAGGTGGAACCCAGCTTTAGTTTTATTCTATGAAATCAACATCTGAACCCCAAGGTTGTCCTGCAGAGTCGGAAGACATTTCCGTACTGGGGACTGGACAGCATACATGCGGGGGAAATCAGGTGCCAAGCTGAGGATGTTGGGTGATGAAAGAATCTCAGATTCTTCTGAGTGGTACTTTGAAGGTCTGAAATTCAAAGGAGGGTGTCTCAGATGGTTTCCAAGGAGTGGATCTCTTCAGCATCGCTTGCCAAGAACAGGTTCAGAGTCTCTTGAGTAATGAGAACACAAGTAGGCTTAGTGAGAAGTACGGTCTCCACTTCATAGAAAGGAAGGAGCTACAAGCCAGTGGTTTGCATTTCAAAGTTTGTCTGTCAGCAAGAGTATCCACTCTGTTAAGAATGATTTCTCTCATTTTTTGAGGTGTGCTGAACTCTTACAGGCTTGGAAACAAAATCAGGCTCTACTTTTACAAATGTCAAGAAGAGGGAAGGCTGAAGTGCTGAGGAAGAGTTTGCTGCTGTTCCTCTCACTGTGCCATAGCTGAGCGTGGTCCTGCAGCTGGCAGTGCTGCGAGGGGAGCAATGAAAGACAGCATTGAGAAATAGGACTGTGCCATTCCCCTTTCCGGTCACATCGTGGGAAAAATTTAAGTCTCATCCCAACCATCCATTATTGACTGTTCTTCCGGTGTGTTTTCCCTTCATCCTTGTGATTGTCCCACATAGCTTAGAGTCCACGGCAGCGCGCGGGTCCCGAAAGCCGAGTCCCGTCTGCGTGGCAGGAGGCAGCGCTACCCGTGCCTGTCTGCGTTCTCCTCCTCCGGTCGCTCCTTCCCCATCCTCACTGTGCAGGACCCCTCCGTGGCCCCTTGCTTGGCTGTAAGCGCTGTCTGCATTGCACTGAGATTGAGATGTGGGGCAGTTCTTCTGCCTGGCGCGTTGAATTAAATGGCTGTTCTGCCAGGGCACTTTCCCTCAAGAGAGAGAAGCAAGTTACGAGTTACAGGTCTGGGCTGTGACAACAGAAGATGACTTTTTTTATTAATATAATTTTTTTTCCGACCCCGAATCCTTTGCCTGGCGTCCTACAGTGTGGAGCGAGTGCTTCCTGTTGGCTCTGCCTCTAATTTGCACACCTGAAAATAGCAGAACTGAGCTTAGTTAGATTGATTTTTAAACAGATTTGCAGGGGATAATTGAGGGGGGAGATGGTGTTTAATTAACTCGTAAAGACTTCCCCCTTCCCCTCGTATTCACATGTATATATGATATTTAGAGGGAATCAGACAAATGCCAAGCCTTTTTTTCTCTTTGAATGTGCTGTCTATTTTTATAACTGAACTGTACATATGTATAAAGAGAGACACATCTTTCTTTTACTAACTGGAGAAGAAAATCTTAAATAAAAATGGAGTGAGATAATTTTATGTAAATCAGTGTCTTGGTGTTTTTTATGCATATAACTGTACAAATGAAAGGATTAGTGCTGAGAGCACAAGGGTGTGCATCTGGAAATGCATCTGTGGACATATGCTCCTCAAAGCAATGCTCTCGAGTATTTGCCCTCTTTGGAATATCATATTCTGTAATTTTTTTCAGTTGCAACTGTGCAGTTATATATCTGTATTCACTAGCTATTTGTGATCTACTTTGGAGTATATATGCAATAGATCACAAGGAAATATATGCAAGTATAATATGGAAAATTATATATGTGTCTGAAGTACGTCAGTTGAATTCAATAGTTTTTCTTTTGGGGACATCATTCCCCATAGTTTCTTTTTTTTTCCTTTTTTTTCTTTTTTCTTTTTGTGTTTTTTTTTTGTAGTATTTGAAAATACTCTCTTCTATGCAGTGTTGATTTTCCAACTGCTACAAAGTTGCATCAGAATTTGGTATAATGCAAAATGGAGAGAAAAAAATGGTTTGTAATCTGAAAAGATTGGGGAAATATGATATGTACTGTAGCCTGCTACTGTTTTGGAAGATGAAGCGAATTCAATTATATTGTAAAAACTTTGAGAATATCACTTTTTATATATATTAAAATAATTTAATCTTCAAAAGAAATACAGAGTGACATGATAAATTGTGATAAAAGTAGTGATACCCTAAATGCTTGTGAAACTAAATTAGACTAGCAAGTTCTGGAAGACCTAATGTAGCAGTGAAATAAAGAAATGAGCTGCTAGAATGTATCCATCTCAATTTCTGTAAATAGTTAAACTGATCCATTTTTCATTTTGTGCATGATAGAAGATCTGTGTTTCCTTGACATTAAACAAGGAATTGGGATTTCTTTTTTTTTTCCTTTTTTTTTTAATATGGAAGGTGTTTTATTCTCATGTCTTGGTTTTTAGAATTCACTAGTGCTAGAAAGGCAAACACACTTGTGGGACTGTTAAGGAGGTGGAGGGAAGTTTTGTGATTGGCAGTATGGAATTGAGTAAAATGGACTAGTTTGTGGGATCAGCTAGAGAGGTAAATTGATTTTAATTCTTGAGGGGATATTGGGAATTTTGTGGGTTGCTCATGCCATTTGATTATAGCATCTATATTTTTACTCCACAGTTACTGTAAAACTGTTCAGTACGGACCACTGATTGGTATTACTTTTGAAGCTATTTAAATGTAATATTTTTCTTAGGTTAACAGGGAAGATTGTTCTAAAAGAGGGTCCATTTCCCATCAGGTCCCATCCCCATCCACACGTCTCTGTTTTCCTACTAGGGCTGTGTAATTCAGAAGAAGCCCCAGAACATTCCTTCTCCCCACTGCACACACCATCAGCAGAAAAATCTTCCTAACCAGGGACAAAATGAAGTCCTAGAGACTACAAAGTGCAGTTGTAATGTGCTGCTCTGTAATGTGTAAAGAAGAAAGGAAGAATAATTGAGATCATTGTCTTTTCTCAAAAACTAGGTGGGGTAGCTGCAGAGAGGAGGAAGCCTAATGATTGACTTTTGAGTGCGGACACTGCATAGAGGCCAGGCCTCTGACAGCAGCAAGACCAGGAGCAGCAACGTAGTCTGCTCTATATGTAGTGTCTGGCTGTGGTTCATCTGCAGCATCCCAGAAGGTGGCAAAAACAAGCAAGCCACCCAGAAAAATAAAACAAAAAGTCCTGCAAAAGACAAGAAGCCAAGGTATGCATTAAGGGTGTGAGAGGAGAACTTGCTGCTCACCGCAGACAAGTTGTGAAAGACAACATGTAGGATTGACACATTATAAAAACAGAGCACTCTAATCCCAACTCCTTTTCAAAACCACGTCCATCAGATAGCCAGGGAGCTGTATCATGCTGTCTTCAGAAATTTTCCTGGTTAGCTATACAGTCCCTTCCACAGTTTGATTGCATGATATTTTCAGAATTCCTATTTCTGATTTTTTTTTCTTTTTGTAAATAACTGAGGTTCTCATATTCTAAATGTTAAATTAAATAACCCTGCAAAGCATTTTCTGTCTGTATCCTGGATTGAGTCAGTTTTCTTTGTTCAGTCAGCCAGTAGGTCTCCCCGTTGTGCTTTGTACAAGGTTAGGCAAATTGCTGCAGGAGGGTTTCCACTTAGAACTGCTCTAGTTTTAACGCCAGGGTGCGTGTCCTGCCTTGCCCAAAGGGCTCCTGGTGTTGCTCCCCTGCCTTCTCCCTCTCTGTTGCATGCTTTCCTCGCCACAGTGCGTCTGCTGTTGTTGTCCGTGTCTTGTTTGTGAACGCCTTCTGCCTGCCTAGGGCTATGTTTTGTCCATTTGCCTGAAAGATTTCCATTGGCAGCATTTTCCAGTGGAGGCAGCACTTGACGGACTCAGCAAGTCAGATGGAGTAGGAATGTTACTTTTGTGGGAGCTGAGGAGCAGGCAGCTGAGTTGCAGCTGGGAGGAGGGAGAAGGAAGAGTCCAAATAATCCCATCATTTGGGATTGGGGGCAGGATGTGGATCAACATCATTTGGGAAATGCTGAGCACAGCACTGCCAATCCCCATCTCCCTGGCCTGCTTCTGTTCCTAGATACCCTTACGGGCTCTTCCTCTCACTTCTATGTCTGTCATTTATTTAGTTTACTCTTCACTCTGCAGTGCTCATTTTGCCTACGAAGGAGCTTTATGGGGATGCCTCGTGCTGTGGGAGCGGTGGTTGTGGCCTGCATGCTCTCCTGAAGTCTTTGGGCAGTCGGATTTAAACAACCCTTAGCTCTACGCGAAGACATGCTGCTTGTATGCTGAGTACAGCTCAGACACATGCATAAGAGTAAAGGCAGTCACGTATCTGCTTCTAGGTACAAGTACCCACTGAATTGAGAAGGATTTTTTTTATTTTTTATTTTTTTTTTTGCTTTGCAGCATGAAGCCGGTGGATAGTGGTGAGAGGGAGTAGGTCAGCATTTTGCACAGGGGCATGGTTGTTAGGATCATATGGATGGCTCAGCTCAGATTCAACCAGCGGGTCTGTGTTATAAACAGCAGCTTTTCTTGTAGCACTCAGACTAGCATTTGTTTCTTTGAAAAGCCTGAAACAAACACCTTATGAAATGGAGAAATGTGTGACAAGTTGGGTTTTCTCCAGCTTTACACTTCTTTTATGTCCTGCTTCTTCCATAAGGAAAGTTACCTCAAAACTCATGGATCTTCCAGACGTTTTATACCAAACTCAATTTACACACTGCTCTTCTAGTGGCATCTGAGGCCATTAGTTTGCATCCAGGCATGAGGAAGTGTTTCAGTGCTCAGGTATGAAATGACTACTCCTTCCTGCCTAAGCTGATGAGCGTCATGGATAGAATGAGGTATGGGAGGAAAAATTTAAATAACACTTTCATGCCCTCTTGAGTTCCCCTATGGACTGTTCCTTCCTTCCAGAGCACCACTGATGGTGCTAAAT